TTTACAGCTGGTATTGAGATGCGTTTTGGTGGATCGGATCATAAATAGACGAGGGGGACGCGTTCCCGTTTACGCCAGTGTTTTATTCGGTCTCTTTTGTCCACTTTAACCACTTCTGTCCTGAGTTCTTCAGAGGAGAGTATGAGCGAGTAAATGTGTGTTTCAGATCTTAATGGACAAAATAAGATCATGCTATTTACATATGAACACGAGCGGAGACTTTAGTTTCTGCTCTTCCAGCCTCGAGACCAGCCGAACGCTGCGAGTGTGTGTTAGAAATCAGGAACGCTGAGAGAACATTGTGTTTGATTTCCTCGTGTCTTCAGCTGATGAAGTTTAAACCCCGTCTGGCTAGATCTCTATAATGTTCACTCATTATTCAAGAGACGGAGAGAAGACGCTCTTTTAGCGTCTGTTTGAACACATGAGCGTTTACACTACGACAGCAATCCGCTCGAGTGTGTTTTCAACTGGAAGTGGACGAGCTCAAAGCGCTTTAGACCCGTTTACACACCCGTGTTTAGTGTCGTACACTCGTGATCCGATCGACTGAAACGCATCTTATCCCCAGGTGAATGTCAGGCCTGATTACACATGCAGTTCAGCCAGTGTCCACAGGATGGCACCATTTATCAGTGCATCCTGATGTTACAACTCTTGCAAGGCAATAAAGATAAAATGCTAAAATATAGGTGTGTGTGTATGAGGTGTTTCTGCAGACTGTTATCCCTGTCCGGTCTGTGGTGACCCTGCCGGGAGTCTGTCTGCTACAGTAAGCCCTGAGCTCAGGATCTGGCGTCTGCATCGGGCCGGCGTCCCCTGAGCTCTCGGGACAAGCGGATCTCCAGCGTGTGGGGTCGAGTCGTGTGGGATTTACATTCACAAACTCTCTCTCTTTCTCTTTTGTAGCACTGCAAAGGTGAAGAAGGGTCAAGCGACGGCTGAGACCGCAGCGAAGGTACATGTGATTTTATGAATTTTCTTTTTGTGATGCTCAATCAGCTTGTTGAATAAACTTGGGTTGTTTCTCTGGTCATGATAAAGGCGAAGACTCGACTTTATGCATGTTTTGTAAGTTTAGCCTCTGTTAAACACATTATTAGTCATGGGTAGGCTAAAATACTAGTATAATGCTCTTAAGTTATTTTACTGAAGGACTTGTTTTGTAAGATTATGCCCGAAAAGGTTTTGGATTTATCATGTTAATTTTTTCCCTTTTTTTTGCTATGAAAATGCTGACATGGCATTAAATAAAACACTATCTCTCGTTGTGATCTTCCCTGTGTTTTTAAATGGTGTATAGTTTAACACGGCCAAAGGAATCATCGTCTGAAGAGCGAGACTAAATGCATTGTTTTGCTTCTGTTGGTATTGGATTAACACTCTTTGTTGTTCTAGAGGAAACGTGACGAGAGCGGAAGTGAAAGTGGTGATGCTGTCGCTCAGGACACATCCAAGACAGAGGAAGAAGTCAAAAAGGAGAAGAAGAAAAAGAAGAAAGAAAAGAAGTTGAAGTTGGCAGAAGAGGCTCCGGCCGAGGATGAACCCGAGGTCAGGGTTCGGTCGCTCACATGACGCACGTTTGTAGGGCTGTAATCGGGGGAGGGGGCGTTAGATTAATGAGCTGTGTAGTACTTGGTAGCCTTGTCTGCCTAAAATAATTATTAACTTAAAGTAGTCTATTTACAGTATATAAAATTGTTTTTGACCCTATGTTGCACTGAAATAACGCACTCCAGTCTGTCGGCTCTGATCCGCAACTAGTGATATCAGTAGTACTGTCAGTTTCACTATTTGGGCGCTGGGGTTGGACACTTGGTTTGGCTGTTGGGGTTGAGCGCTGTAGTTGGCTGCGGGCGCTGGGTTTTGGCTGCGGGCGCTGGGGTTGGACGCTTGGTTTGGGCGGTTGGGTTTGGGTGGTGGGTTTGGCCGTTGGCTTTGGGCGCTGGGGTTGGACGCTTGGTTTGGGTGCTGGGGTTTGGCTGTTGGGGTTGGGCGTTGTGTTTGGGTGCTGGTGTTCAGGCGCTGGGGTTTGCCTGCTGGCACTTGGTTTGGGCGCTGGAGTTGGGTTGGTGGGCGGTGGGTTTGGCCGCTGGGGTTGGCCGTTGGGTTTGGGCACTGGGGTTGACCGTTGGGTTTGGGCATTGAGGTTGGCCGTTAGTTTTGGGCGCTGGGGTTGACCGTTGGGTTTGGGCGCTGGGTTGACCGTTGGGTTTGGGCACTGGGGTTGACCGTTGGGTTTGGGCATTGAGGTTGGCCGTTGGTTTTGGGCATTGAGGTTGGCCGCTGGGGTTGGCCGTTGGTTTTGGGCGCTGGGGTTGGCCGTTGGGTTGGCCGTTGGTTTTGGGCGCTGGGGTTGGCCGTTGGTTTTGGGCGCTGGGGTTGGCCGTTGGTTTTGGGCGCTGGGGTTGGCCGTTGGTTTTGGGCGCTGGGGTTGGCCGTTGGTTTTGGGCACTGGGGTTGGCCGTCGGGTTTGGGTGCTGGGGTTGGCCGTTGGGTTTGGGCGCTGGCGTTGGGTTTGGGTGCTGGGGTTGGCCGTTGGGTTTGGGCGCTGGGGTTGGCCGTTGGGTTTGGGCGCTGGCGTTGAGTTTGGGCGCTGGCGTTGGGTTTGGGCGCTGGGGTTGGGCGCTGGCGTCGGGTTTGGGCGCTGGGGTTGGGCGCTGGCGTCGGGTTTGGGCGCTGGGGTTGGCCGTTGGGTTTGGGCGCTGGCGTTGGGTTTGGGCGCTGGCGTCGGGTTTGGGCGCTGGGGTTGGCCGTTGGGTTTGGGCGCTGGGGTTGGCCGTTGGGTTTGGGCGCTGGCGGTTGGCCGTTGGGTTTGGGCGCTGGCGGTTGGGTTTGAGTGCTGGGGTTGGGCTAATCCAAAACAAGTAAAAACAAGAGTAGTGTTCTGAAGACAGACTGTTACCTGTGAAACGGGTTCTCTGAAAACATTTGCAATTAGTGCTTTCCACCTCATTAAATTACCACAGAAAAAATGAGTCGAGCCAGAACGTATCGACCAATAAGTGAACTGGGAGATTAGAGCCATACACGATTGTTCATTCAGTGTGAGGATGATGTACTAAACCAGCTCCTTTCACATGCAGGTCACGGAGAGCGCCAAGAAGAAGAAGAAAAAGAAAAAGAAGAAAGATGCAGAAGCTGCTTCAGAATGAACAGACTTGTGTAATATTGAGAGAGCGCACCAGTAATCGTGTCGAGTGGAAACCGGTTACCAGTGCAACGATGGACAACGGCCGGTCTAAAGATCGTTCTTGTAAATGTTTGCAGTTCGAAATACTTGAGTTTGTTTTTTTGGTCGTCCAAATGAAATCCTTATTGCCAGGGTTCATTCAAGTATTTGAACGTTTTTTTTTTTATTATTATTATTGTAAATACAGATTGTAATCCTGTAATCAAATGAAACATGACTGACTTTTTACAAAAAAAGGCTCCTTTGTTTCCTTCTGCATTTGACCCGTTTAAGAGCGATTCATCCGCTCAGTGATTTCTAGGGCCAGCACAGGCTTCGTTTGCAGCAGGTTTACAGGAATGTGTTCGTTCTCTTCTGCAGGGTGGCCACGGGTACTTAAAATATTTTAATGTCTTAAATTAAAGGGATAGTTCACCCCAAAATGAAAAATCAGTAATTACTCTCCCTCATGTTGTTCAACCTTGTAAGACACTTGTTCATCTTCGGAACACAAAATAAGATATTTTTGATTAAATCTGAGAGCTGGATGCAACTATCTAATGAACCAAATCACATGGCAGTTTCTTCAGTGCATTTAGGGGTGTGGTTTTGGTCAAGACAATCTCCTGATACTCCTGTCAGTAATTACTCTCCCTTAGATATTACATGCACTTTTGTCTAAAATCAATTTAAGTTTTTGATGATTTGATGCATCAGGCTTTTAAGGTTTATCTTGTATATGATCACGTATGATATAAAAAGAATATGAAGCCCATACTTTGAGGAGACCTAAACTGAGCAACAAAATGCAGTTTCATACATTTATAATTGATATGACCAAGATTAAGATTCTAATAATGTCAATCTACTGTAACTGTTTAATACACTGAAAAGTGAACACTTGACCATTTTTTTGTTTTCACATGTTTATTTACTTTTTAATTTTTTTTTTTTTTTTTGTTTTTTTGAGGAAACCCGTTGCTTTAAAATTTAGCAATGTGCAATTGTCAAGTTGGCATGAAATTAGTAAACCCATTGCCTTAAAATTAAGTAAATCTTTATTAAAAAATGTTAGTGAACGTGCCACACTGCCAATGATGACTTGGTGAGATATTTAAATTAAAATAAATTGATCAAAGCACTGTAACTTTAAAACAAATGAGTGCAATACAATGATTGACTGATGAATAAATCAACCTACCTCGAAAGCCGGATGGATCAAATTTAATGCATTTTAACTTAAGTTTTCCAAGTTCCGTAAGAGGCTGTTTACACAATTTCAACTATAAAAACGTTAGTAATTAAGAGTTTTCCATTCATTTACATGACAATGTTTGAAAACGACACCGTTATTGTGTCCATGTAAGCTACAAAAACAGAAATTTGTTAATAGTAATAAAAGAAGTGAAGAGTGTTGCGTAAAGCCAGAATGTCAAGCTATTGAATTGAATTAATCTCCTTAATTTGCTATAAAGTGAAAGGCTGTGAACATCCTTCAAGTGTGGCGATTGCACCGTTCCTTGTCTGCAGTTCACATTAGATAACAGCAGGAGGTATGAAAACAATAGGCTACTAACAACAAAAAATTTGTGTATATGGTTGAAAGATCTTCATTTTAGATCTTCAATGGGTAAATACTGCTTGTGGCATCATGGTACTATACAATGTTTAAGTGTTTTATTCTGGTTTTCTCAACTTTAAAGGGATACTCCACCGTTTTATATATTATACTATGTTGTTCCCTTAAAAATAAACAAAATAAAACGTTGCACACACACACACACGGTGGTAGGCTGATCACGCGCGCGCATGCGCAGTGGACTCGCCTCTGCAGAGCAGAGCATCTAACGACGCTTCCAAGGCAACGCGCGCGTGCATCTCCTCCGCGTCCGTCGCTCTACACACGGCGTGATGATGATGAGGATGATGCGCGTTAACGCCATGTAACGGTGAACAGCTCTTCGGAAACCACGACCGCGTAACAGAAGACCTAATCAACTACAATTATTCGTAAGTAAATGCCAATTACGCGCGTGTTTTCCCATACATGTGTCCTAATGACTTGAATGCAAGACTCGTAGATGTTACGGTGCTCTAATATGGGCTTTAGAATATGCGGACAGATCGAAAATAATAATGACTGCTGCAATTTCATTCATTTCCCTCATAAATTCACCTATTATCGCATCACATGCCAGCACAGTGCTCTGGGGGATGACGTCATGCGCGACACCGTGTTATGGAGGATGAGTGACGTCATGGCAATCAACAGATCATGGAATTCTCGTGGAATTCTAAACTTGGAAATGAATTCTCTCTGCTAAAATGAAACTCATAGAGCTCAGGTTGTTTGATTGAGTTCACATTGTTGTCTTGGGTATATTTTAGACATTGTTGAGGGGATTTGCTCAATCAGAGGACTCTGTTTGTCTGAAAACGCAACATCAAAGCTTTGTGAAGCAGTCACGTGATGTCAGACTGATGCGTACACTTATTAATGACTCATTTATAGACTCATATTTGTTTGTTGAAATGTGATCCAGTATGAAACATAACTAAACCCTGCTGGATTGATTCACTCCTGAGCTGATGAGCATCTGAGAGCGCTCAATACAGCACTATTATCATTATAAATGTCAGTGTCTGAAAGACATCAGTGAAGAGTGCACAGAATCTTCATCGTCTTTTATTTTGTTGATAAATAAAGTTGTTTTGCCTGGGATTTGGAAATGTGGTATAATGTGGTTTTGTGGCCTAAATGGCATTTCCCCCTTTTCTAGAAGATCCCTTTATCCCTGCCCTGTTCCCACAGATCTGAGATGGGAGCGCTGAGCTTGATTACGTAAACTTGTGTTTCCACCAGTATAGCTGAGGCGTTGCCATGGTTTCCTCTCACAGGACTATAGAGACGGGCTGAGATTTACACTCAGGCGTGAGAGATGATTCAGCTGCGCACACACATCATCACTTTGGGTTTTTAAGTCTCCAGTAACAAATCCTGTTTTATTCCACATTCTAGAAGGCAGATATAATATAGGATGCAATCCGTAATGCCACACTTTATTCTATATTCGCTTTTCAATTTGATTCACATATTTCTTAACATTTTTTTTTGTATTGATTCCATTGTGTATTCAGTTATGCATCTGTAACTCTTTGTCGGGTCTGTTGTTGAGATCTCGCCTGAAACTTGTGAGTTTTGTATGTGGATGATGCAAACACTTTTTATGACATAACTCTAGACTGAATATTGTTGGAATCCCAATAGCATATTCTTCTTTGAGTTGTGGTTGCTAGGCTCCTCAAACTAACAGATGTGTGTTTGGTTGGAATGAGATCACAGTGTGACGAGCGCCACAGATCGAGGTTCCCCTTCAGGGTGTCTATGTGCACATCTTGTTGGATGATTATCACAATTACAACAGGGTTCACAGCCTCAGGGAGCACTGTGCCCTATTTAAAACAAATACAATTATTTTATTTATTTATTTATTTATTTAATTTAATTTAATTTAATTTTTTATTATTTTTTTTTTTGGGGGGGGGGGGGGGATGCAAAACAGAAGAAAGCTGAGCCTGAAAATAGAGTATACGTTTAGAGTTGCATTACAAAGAGACTGTCTCTGACTAACAGACGCAGCTCTCGCACTCACCGGAGCATGAGAGGGCCTCGATGGTTGTCATGGAAATGGCCATAGGCTTCAAGCCAAACTGTCTGTCGGGGTGAACCCATCTGACATGAAGTGGCTATATGTATTGCTTATACATTTTGAGAAATGTTTTTTTCATATGGAATTATATTATGCACACATTTGCACAAAATAAATGCAATTAATGCATACATTTATTTTAATCTATGTATAAAGCATAATGTTTTATCTAAAATGTATTTGATATTGGAAGTGTGCTTTCCTACTTTTTGTATTCTATTTTTTATTTTGAACCATTAATTTTACAATGTTTCAAATGTACACTTCTGGTAAAAAAATAATAATAATAATGATAACAATATTGATGCTGCTGCTGTTATTGATGCTGCTGCAATTATTGTGGCTGCTGCTGTTATTGATGCAGCTGCTGTTATTGATGCTGCTGCTGTTATTGATGCTGCTGCAGTTATTGATGCTGCTGCTGTTATTGTTGCTGCTGCTGTTATTGATGCTGCTGCAGTTATTGATGCTGCTGCTGTTATTGATGCTGCTGCTGTTATTGATGCTGCTGCTGTTATTGATGCTGCTGCTGTTATTGTTGCTGCTGCTGTTATTGATGCTGCTGCTGTTATTGTTGCTGCTGCTGTTATTGATGCTGCTGCTGTTATTGATGCTGCTGCTGTTATTGTTGCTGCTGCTGTTATTGATGCTGCTGCTGTTATTGATGCTGCTGCTGTTATTGATGCTGCTGCTGTTATTGATGCTGCTGCAATTATTGTGGCTGCTGCTGTTATTGATGCTGCTGCTGTTATTGTGGCTGCTGCTGTTATTGATGCAGCTGCTGTTATTGATGCTGCTGCTGTTATTGATGCTGCTGCAATTATTGTGGCTGCTGCTGTTATTGATGCAGCTGCTGTTATTGATGCTGCTGCAGTTATTGATGCTGCTGCAGTTATTGTGGCTGCTGCAGTTATTGAGGCTGCTGATGTTGCTGATGCTGCTGCTGCTGTTATTGATGCTGCTGCTGTTATTGATGCTGCTGCTGTTATTGTGGCTGCTGATGTTGCTGATGCTGCTGCAGTTATTGATGCTGCTGCAGTTATTGATTCTGCTGCTGTTATTGATGCTGCTGCAGTTATTGATGCTGCTGCTGTTATTGATGCTGCTGCAGTTATTGATGCAGCTGCTGTTATTGATGCTGCTGCAGTTATTGATGCTGCTGCTGTTATTGTTGCTGCTGCTGTTATTGATGCTGCTGCAGTTATTGATGCTGCTGCTGTTATTGATGCTGCTGCTGTTATTGTGGCTGCTGCTGTTATTGATGCTGCTGCTGTTATTGATGCAGCTGCTGTTATTGATGCTGCTGCTGTTATTGATGCAGCTGCTGTTATTGATGCTGCTGCAGTTATTGATGCTGCTGCTGTTATTGTTGCTGCTGCAGTTATTGATGCAGCTGCTGTTATTGATGCTGCTGCTGTTATTGATGCTGCTGCTGTTATTGTTGCTGCTGCTGTTATTGATGCTGCTGCTTTTATTGATGCTGCTGCTGTTATTGTTGCTGCTGCTGTTATTGATGCTGCTGCTGTTATTGTGGCTGCTGCTGTTATTGTTGCTGCTGCAGTTATTGATGCAGCTGCTGTTATTGATGCTGCTGCTGTTATTGTTGCTGCTGCTGTTATTGTTGCTGCTGCAGTTATTGATGCAGCTGCTGTTATTGATGCTGCTGCTGTTATTGATGCTGCTGCTGTTATTGTGGCTGCTGCTGTTATTGATGCAGCTGCTGTTATTGATGCTGCTGCAATTATTGTGGCTGCTGCTGTTATTGATGCAGCTGCTGTTATTGATGCTGCTGCAGTTATTGATGCTGCTGCAGTTATTGTGGCTGCTGCAGTTATTGAGGCTGCTGATGTTGCTGATGCTGCTGCTGCTGTTATTGTGGCTTCTGCTGTTATTGATGCTGCTGCTGTTATTGTTGCTGCTGCTGTTATTGATGCTGCTGCTGTTATTGTGGCTGCTGATGTTGCTGATGCTGCTGCAGTTATTGATGCTGCTGCAGTTATTGATGCTGCTGCAGTTATTGATTCTGCTGCTGTTATTGATGCTGCTGCAGTTATTGTGACTGCTGCTGTTATTGATGCAGCTGCTGTTATTGATGCTGCTGCAGTTATTGATGCTGCTGCAGTTATTGTTGCTGCTGCAGTTATTGATGCAGCTGCTGTTATTGATGCTGCTGCTGTTATTGATGCTGCTGCTTTTATTGATGCTGCTGCTGTTATTGTTGCTGCTGCTGTTATTGATGCTGCTGCTGTTATTGTGGCTGCTGCTGTTATTGTTGCTGCTGCAGTTATTGATGCAGCTGCTGTTATTGATGCTGCTGCTGTTATTGATGCTGCTGCTGTTATTGTTGCTGCTGCTGTTATTGTTGCTGCTGCAGTTATTGATGCAGCTGCTGTTATTGATGCTGCTGCTGTTATTGATGCTGCTGCTGTTATTGTGGCTGCTGCTGTTATTGATGCAGCTGCTGTTATTGATGCTGCTGCAATTATTGTGGCTGCTGCTGTTATTGATGCAGCTGCTGTTATTGATGCTGCTGCAGTTATTGATGCTGCTGCAGTTATTGTGGCTGCTGCAGTTATTGAGGCTGCTGATGTTGCTGATGCTGCTGCTGCTGTTATTGTGGCTTCTGCTGTTATTGATGCTGCTGCTGTTATTGTTGCTGCTGCTGTTATTGATGCTGCTGCTGTTATTGTGGCTGCTGCTGTTATTGATGCTGCTGCTGTTATTGTGGCTGCTGATGTTGCTGATGCTGCTGCAGTTATTGATGCTGCTGCAGTTATTGATTCTGCTGCTGTTATTGATGCTGCTGCAGTTATTGTGACTGCTGCTGTTATTGATGCAGCTGCTGTTATTGATGCTGCTGCAGTTATTGTGGCTGCTGCAGTTATTGAGGCTGCTGATGTTGCTGATGCTGCTGCTGCTGTTATTGTGGCTTCTGCTGTTATTGATGCTGCTGCTGTTATTGTTGCTGCTGCAGTTATTGATGCAGCTGCTGTTATTGATGCTGCTGCTGTTATTGATGCTGCTGCTGTTATTGTTGCTGCTGCTGTTATTGATGCTGCTGCTGTTATTGATGCTGCTGCTGTTATTGATGCTGCTGCTGTTATTGATGCTGCTGCTGTTATTGTTGCTGCTGCTGTTATTGTGGCTGCTGATGTTGCTGATGCTGCTGCAGTTATTGATGCTGCTGCAGTTATTGATTCTGCTGCTGTTATTGATGCTGCTGCAGTTATTGATGCTGCTGCTGTTATTGATGCTGCTGATGTTATTGATGCTGCTGCAATTATTGTGGCTGCTGCTGTT